CTTATTCGGTGTTTCTGTCAACTTTCCAGTTTCTCTACCAAGGCACGACCGAAACTTTGCAGAACTATGAAATAGCAAGAAACAGTTGAACAAAGTTTCGGTCGTGCCTTGGCAGAGAAACTGGAAAAACTCTTTCAAAGGGTTTGTAGAAATTAAAACTATTTGTCTGTTCGGTTTTAACGGTATTAAATAGACTTTAGCTTCCTTGAATTTCATTAGATTTGCCTGATAGCCTGGTAAACCCCTTTTTGGTATAGAAGGTATGAGTGGAACGGAGCAGCGCGAAGACCTCCTGTATCAGAAAGGGAAGGCAAACTAGATGGAGAAGGCACCCACGCGTGTTTTCTTTTTCCAACTCAAGCGTTTACAGTTCTGCCTTGTTTCTCCCAAACAATGTTTTGCGCGGTATGCAAATACTCCCAAGAGTTTATATGAATATTTTGCAGTTGTTCAGTAGGAGTTTAAGCAGGTTTTCATTGAATACCACGCTTATGCCTTGTACTTAAAAAATATAAATGCTAAACATATTATGATTTGAAATGCCACGTGTAGTTAGGACATTTCAAGTCTAAAGGTTAATTAATGGTATTTTGCTCTCAGGAAATCAGTTGAAATTAAAAAGGTTTTTAGGGTATAATTAGGTGAAACTTAGTTTGTAGTTGTATGTATGATGTTGTAGTTTGTTGTTGTTTGTATGATTGGTCGTATAGTCGAAAATGATTTCAGCAAAACGCTCTTAGCTTAGAATATCAGCAAAACTTTCGGGTAAATTTTCAGCACAACCCTCGGGTGTCTTCTCTTACCGACTCATGCATTTACAGTTCTGCCTTGCTCCTCTCAAATAATATTTTGCAATGTATGCAAATACTAACAAGAATTTACATGAATGTTTTGCAGTTGACACATAGAAGTTTGAGCAAGCTTTCATTCATTACCAAGCATTGTATTTAAAAAATTATAAATGCTAAACACATAATGATTTGAAATGCCAAGTGTAGTTTTCCTTAAACCAAATCAGTTGTCTATATAAGATGCATTTTCATTACCACATTTCAAGCTTGAAGGTTAATCGTTTGTTATTTAGTAGTTGAGATTTGTCTGCGAAAAACTTACCTAGCATAACATTATTCTTACAAACAGTCAAGGATCTGTTGCAGCAATTAAGGTATTATGAGACAGACAAGAACAAATAATATAGCCCAACTCTCTTAAATTGTAGAAAGTAGAACAATGTCATAAACATTACTGCAACGATCCTCGGTCTCTAGAGAATGAAAGTGATTGTGTGCTTTTAGTTCACGATCATTTTGTTTTATTGCAATTTTTATTATGTGTAGTTTCTTTATTTGATGTTATCGTTCGAGGAAATCGCAATTGTAAATTTTTTTGACGAAATCTCAGTAACCACTGCATGCCTGGAATTAATTTATTAACGAAAAAGTTGCAACATTAATCAGAAAAATCGCTGCCTATAAATTTGCCCCGCGATGCTCATATGCACAAATTGCAGGCAAATCCTTTCTTAATGACGCATTCCATGGCATTGTAATAAAAATCGCTTTATTGTAATGCGTCCAATTAGTTCTTCAGTGCACATTAACTTTGAATTACCAGTATTCTTACCTTGTAAGCTCAGACCTGCTTTCTACCATTAAAGTTATTTAGAAAGGGTCTACATGTAAAAGCTGCAACTACGATAGTTCTTGTTGGTAAATATTTAATTTAATTACAATTTTTTTCGACTACAAGAAATAAATAATAATTTAACTAATCCTGCTGTTAGACTTAGGATTAAATGTGTCCTTGCTGAAAAATTCGACTAAATAATTATAATGTAGGACACATCGATTAGGATTAATGATGCTCCAATATGAATGAGACAATAGCTTAGGCAATATATTGTCTCTATTAACCACTGGCCCTTGAAGATTGTTTTCAATTGAACTCCCATAGTTGTTTTCGACGAGTTAATACTGTTATGGGTTAAATTTCCCATTGGAAAATAATTTAAATAATTGAATAAATACATTTTCGGCGTCTGGCCTTGCCATATTGAGACCTTTGCCCGTTGATCTGGTCGCAAATAAAGAAATTTAATTCGAAAACCATTCGGTTGTTTCATTAGCGAACTTTGCTTGGAATTACCGACGTTTTTATTACATGTTGTTGGCGATATTTTATAACACTTGGAGGAATTTGGTATTTTTCGCCAAATTGTGCAATGGGTCAAGTGGTTCGGGGAATTGTTAGCATTGCGTTACGTCAGATATTCTGTTGTAAATTCCAAGAAGATTGGCGAAAAATTACCAGAAACCTGTATGTTATTGAAAATTTTCTTAACGACTCTGGTGTCTACGTAATAATGAAACCGTGCAAGAAACGTATTTTGCACAATTATGTACAGGAATATGGGTTGTAAATGTAAATTAGCCATTAAGAATGTCCATCTTCCTTGTCTATGTAGTCCAGAAATGTATCTCCTCAGGTGCATTTATGGTAGAAAAACCAAGATTTATAGTTCTATGCCTTTCTAAAATCTGAATGAAAAGCTAATAAATACCGTCAATAAACCTCTATCAGGCATTTATGACAAAGTCATTAAATATTCACCTAAAAGGCAGTTAACGAGTTTCAGTGCGATTTGCTCTATTTATTGGCTTATTTGGCGTTTTTCGTAAATATTTGCACAATGATCAACGTCTCAATTTTAATTACGAACTGTGTTCAAAAAATATTTAACAAGCGATCAAGTTCCTTAATCCATTCATTGGGCTCGGTTATTTACCAAAAATAGACTAATTCTGCTATTTCGAGAATAGGTTCGATTTTTTTTGTAAACTCCAGCCAGGATGAGTCAACAGAGCTATGAGGATGAGGTAAATTTATATTTTATGACTCATTGCAAGCAAGAAACTTGCAACAATTACAATTTACTATACATAAAACCGGCATAGAAAATAGCTCCGAAATTAATTATCGAAAATATTCCGTGCTGATAACGATTGCCCTATTTGAGTCAAACCAATTTGTTTATGGGAATAATCATTCACAACTGCAATATATGAACGCATTTAAAAGATAGGAATATCAATAATGATAAATATATAATGAAGGCTTTGTAGACTTACAACGAGCGTTTGACTTTGCCCATCAAATAAAAAACCCGAACTGGATCTTTATTGCAAAAAATGCGTTTGAAATGTGCTGGTTTTATTCATAAATATTATGGATTGTTAAATGCTGCATGAAACACATTTAATACTCGTTTCCTAATAAAGTTTCTAATGCCTTTCTTCATTGATAACAGTTTAGAGTCTAGTTCAAAAGTAATTGGCAGCCTGGGTTTACCTATTTCAAAACCCCCATAATTTTAGGTGCTTTATATTAAGACTAATCACCAAGTTTATAGCGTATTGCAACATTAATTTTAATAGTTTTCCTAGTTTACCACAAATAATTGTTCATTCCGTCGAATCCACCAGGCCAAAGTTTCATATTCACAGTGAACTCTGGTACTAATAATTTTACGTAAATAGTATACGTTTGTTTTACCATGCACAGTGTGTTTTAATTAAGTTGGATTTAGATAAGATTTTTTCCAGCATCTGCCAACTTCTGCTTTATTTGCAATTAGAGCTGTGGTGTGGAACTCAGAATTTTAGGAACGAAAAAGGACTTTTGCCCTTTTTCTTCTGTTTAGTCTGAAAATAACACTCCCAAAATCTGCACTTTATTTCGCCTGATGCAACATACAGTGCACGTTTCGCGAGTGATATTTTCAGGCTAAACCCGCCTGATCATGATGAAAGCTTTCAACACTTTTTTTATTGGGTTATTTTGCTTCAAAATTACAGTCTGTGGAACGACATTCATAGTTTTTGCGCAAAAAAATATTTCTGTTCTCTTGCCAACTGACAAATTTACATTCATTAATTTTTTTACTTTAACAAAACTTARATAATTTTTTTTATAATGTCGGGAAAGCGCTCAGATGRAWTTTAATSAAACTTGCTGTGGATTTGTTCCTTAAAAACTCGCTTTTTTTTTCGTRAAATTTCTGATGAACGCAATTCGGACRAAAACGCTTCCAAAAGACAACCGGGCTTAAAACTTTGATATTGTCGGTCGGGTTAAAAATTATGAAAAAGCTTGCAAATGATTTTTTTATTAAAGAAGATTATCGCTTACCACGACATTTGCAGTTAACGCCTGAAATTGTTAAATAGCAAGGAAATTATTTTTTTTTTGCAAAACTACGATCGCTTTATGATTTTACAAGCAGCGCAAAAATGTCCAAATAGAACTAGTGCATAAACTCAAAAAAACAGTTGATTCCAGAGACCAAATTAAAAGTTCTGGTAGGTTTTGTACCAAGAGACTCAAAAATCCACCCGCAAAGAATCTTACATAGGAACAAATTCACAGCGAGTTTCATTAAAATCCATGGTATAATTCTCCCGATATAAAAAAAAATTGAAGAACTTTGACCATCAATATGAGAGGGGCCAGACATTTTTACTTACTAAAACTTGTGTCAGATCGTCTTTTTTTGAGCCACGTGCTTACGGGACACCTTGCCCTAAATTGACGCAAAATGGAAAAATGGAGAAATAAAAGTTGTTGTCACAACAAGGTCCAAACACCCAAAATTGGGGGCAAAATGCCCAAATAAAATGTATCTAAATTTTTTTTAAGCAGCTCCTATTTTGATTTGAAGATGTTGCTACAGTTGAATGTGAAAAACTATTTTCCAAAATGTTCCCTTTAACTGGACGCAATTTTAGGCAAATATCACCTTTTTTTGTTATGTTTTTTTTGGGAATAGCGTGCTTGCTTTACTAGTAATTTGCTTTACGAAGATAGCAAATTTTGATCTTACATTTGAAGATTGTCACGACTCTGGATTGCTTGAGCACCCATTTCAAATATGAAGAATCAATTGGCGCAAATATGTAGGATAGAAAAATTAGGCCAAATCGCCCAATCACGACTAAACTTACCAGACTTGTATAGGCCAAAATCAGCAACAAGTGGAAAATATTCACTTCCTAAACACCGCGCTGAGACACAAGATCACTTTGATGAATTGCTGACAGTACGATCGCGACACTAGACCAATTGCAGACCACTTTTACTCGCAAATTTCCTCAACTCATGGTTTCCTCAATTGTGCCAATTTGAAGAATGGTGTCAACAGGCAAAATTTCAATTTTTCGAAACAGAATAACTGTTTTTTTTTCTTTAATTATTTCTTAGTGCGTTTTTCCGCGATCGAAAATCAGCAAGTCACACGGGCGCGCGTTTTACTCGAACCGGAGACGCGCACGTATCACTCGACCGAGTTGTATCGAATGGATGATAAGCTGGGTGGAATGAAAGTAGACGAAACTACATTACGTAATCGTATATATTGCCATCGAGCTTGAAACAGGGTGGGAGACCAACCAGTTTAATGTAACTGACATCGCTTTAGCCCTGAGCTTCAAGGGCTGAAGACCGGGAACCTCACGCTGCTAGTAGCACAGCAGGAGCAAAGCGATTTTCTCATTATTTAGTAACCCTTGCTAACACTTGAGAAGGGATTAGTCTCATTCCTTCAGTAAGACTAGTCTTCAATATTATTTCTCCGGTTGATGCTTGATGCAAACTTCAGCTTTTCGGTTGCCCAACATAAAAAAATCGAAGAGAGTTATATCGGGAAATCTGGCAGGCCATTCGGTCGAACCTCTTCTACAAATCCACTTGCTTGGGAAAATTATATTTAAATTATTTCCAATAGGGTGTGGTCGGGCCCCGTCTTGCTGAATCCATAGAAAATAACCATGAAAATCAGGAGATGCTTTTGATATGGATAAATATTTAAATAAGTATAATAATACGTAAAGTAGAAAAACAAAAAAAAATAAAAAAAGTCTGAATCTAAGGCCATATATTTTTGTCTAGGGTTATTTTTATGTTGGTCGGCTCATTGAATTGAAGTCTGATAATGGTCCGAAACTTTCTCAATTTTCATACAAGGCTTTTGGAAGAAATTTGTTATGGTTTTTTGATCATTTTTTCACTTTCATTCTGCATAGTGCCTGGCTGAATTGATGGGAATAAGGAAGCAAATAAACGCGCCACTGAGCACCTGCGTTTGATTAAATTTTCCAAAATTAAYGGTCTAATTTTTTAAATTARYTYTCAAAAATTGTTTTTGCTTGCACTATTATCAATATGAACATCAATTTGCGCAATTTTCAGAYTTTTTGAGGCTCTGAAACACTTGATAGCGTTGCAAAAGACGTTTCAATTTAGACAATTTATATAGACTTGATTATTTTTGGACATTTTTACTTAAAACTTTTTTCAAGTTAGAAACTGATATCGAAAAGGTCTCAATGAGTATTGAAATATGTTTTGTCGTTTCCGAGACGTGAGGTCTTGAACTTCGATAATTTTTAAAAATTGATATTTTGCTTTCTAGCTGCTTAAAGGTTAGGATTTTCTGATAAAACTTAAATGGAAAATGGCAGTCCTCCAGAAGCCCCATCCGAAACATTCTAATTATTTTTCACATTTTTTATCCGTTTCCGAAATATAAACTCTTGAACCTGGACAATCCGTTAAAAACTGATATTTAGCCTTCTAGCTGTTTAAAGGTTAGGATGTTCTGAAAACCCCTAATTAGAAAAATACAGTTCTCGAGACTATCGGAAACAGAGTAATTATTTTTCACATTTTTTATTTGTTTTCAAGATTTAAGCCGTTGAACTTCGATAATACTTTCAGAATTGATATTCCGTTTTCTAGCTGTTTTGTGGTTAGGAATTTCTAATAAATTACCAATAGAAAAAGACAGCTCTCGAGACTCTTTATCGGAAACATTTTAATTATTTTTGAGATTTTTTATCCGTTTTCGAAATATCAGCTCTTGAACTTTGACCTTCCTTTAAAAACGGATGTTTTGCCTTCTAGCTGTTTAAAGGTTAGAATTTTCTGATAAAAATCAATTAGAAAGAGAGTTCTCGAGACGCCCTATCGAAAATATTCTAATTATTTGTGACATATTTTCATCCGTTTCCGAGAAATAAGTTCTTAAACTTTGACAATCCTTTAAAAACTAATATTTTGCGTTCTAGCTGATTAAAAGGTGGGTATTTCTAATAGAGCCTAATTAAAAAAAAAACCAGAACGCCCTATCGGAATCATTCTAATAATTTTTCGGATCTTTTCATCGGTTTTCAAAACATACGCTCTTGAAATTCGACATCCGTTTGAAAGCTGGTGAAAATGTTCATAACATTTGTTTGAACATTTGTGCAGAAATAAAGCATTTTTTGAACTAAGCTGATATTGTTGGTTTCTCGCTTTTTAATAGTTAAAACCGGTTTTGTGTTTTCTTGCAGTAATTGCATACCGATTATTGAAGTACCCACAATTCATCGAGTGTGTATTTTCAGGTGTCGAATATTTACGTAAAAGTGAACCCTTCGGAAAAATGATCTCAATTAACTTCTTGTACTAAATGAATGCATCTGTTCCACTTTAGAGCATTTAAAACCTAAAATTGAGTGATCTCTTGCGGAATTGCAATCTGGCGGCTAGATAAAAATGAGTTTATTTCACTATCAATAAAACACAAAAAAAATGTTAACCGAATTAGTGCGTAACATTTCTCAGACAGTCGCTAATTTTAAAGCAATATTATTTCCCGTTATATTTAAATCGCATTGTAATTTGGTACCGCATTTTGCAGTTCAAAGGCTATCAATTTTAAGCGACACTAAATAATAATAATTTCTTTAAATGAACGCATCATATCTGTAGTGTGGTTCACAACAAAAAATGTTTTCATCGGAGAATTCGTATTAATCAGATAAGCTGAATAAATATTCAATAAAAGAACGGATTTAACCATTTATGGTTCCGAAGCCAATGATCCGCAAATAAAGTGCGGCATTGCAAAAGTCCCATTTACAACTAATGAGACCCACAATTATCGAATTTGGGGTTCGGTGTTATTAGTAGACCGTGAAATTTTGTTTAAACAATCCGCATTTTCTTCTTTCGAAAGTATTAATGTTATTCACTCAACTTGCCTGTCGAAGATACTCAATCAGTAAGCGAATATAATTTGATGATGATTATTTTTGGGAGAACATCTGGAATCATTTGCGGGTGCATTTTTTAACTGGCTGTTTAGCCAATTATCTAACAAGAATAATAGAAATGTTTGAGACATTGCTGAGGGCCCTACTCAAACACTAATATTACTTGGGTCTATTTTCAGCGTTTATTCTTAGATCATCTACATAAAGACATTGGGGTATATAAATAAATGAAAGACGATATTAGATTGACTCGACTGAAGTGGTGAAATGCAGTTTTATTTGTGGACGACCATGTTGAAAGCTCTGTTTTGCTTTATTCGAACTTTCTTCATTCAGGCGGTTTTGACTGATTTTTTTCCTATTTTATGTCGCTATTATAGTATTTTAAAGTTGGTGGTGAGTTTTTAGGGCTTCGAGACCGTCATGGAAAATGAGACCGTTAATTTTTTTCATCATGACAACATCTTAGTAAGACAATGGAAGTACAAATAAAGCATTCAACCACTTGGAAGTTCAGTCTAAGCTTTCTAGAGAAACACCTCTGAGGATGGGAGACAAAAGTGCTCTCAAAACGTTAGGAAAAATATTTTCCACCATCGCCTACTGATGATTATTGAACAAATTATATGGAGTTACTAAAATATATAAATATATGAAAAAACGAGAAAACTTCGCACTCAAACGTAAAAATATAATATTTGCAACCCTACTAAAAACTACCCTAATTAAGGCTTCATATTGCTTAATTTTTTACTTGCTTCCATTGCAAATACGTAAAATGTTGCAGCAATTTATATTTACAATTAAAATTAGTTGCTAGCAATTATTCAGCGAAAAATCCTCGTTGTATGCGTTACGTTCGCACCTGGTAACCCACTATTTCTGCGATAATTTTAGTGGGCTGTTATGAGGCAATCGATGTTAATTTCCGTCAAACCATCTATTGGCTCATCCACCTTAAGTGTTAATAATAAGTAGCACAGTGGAACCGCATTCGATTTTTATAGCTTGGCTTCCACTATTTTAAAGCGGCATGTCTTTAAACGGAACTTGAGATGTGACATATAACACGCATTGGATCCAAACAAACATGTGCTTCAAATTATTTACGTGATACAGTCAATTACCTCTTCGGGTTAGGGACAATGTGGTAGCTTTTAAAGAAGATGTGAATTTAAGAAATTTTCAAGATTTGCTTAAAACTATAAAATATATTCACTTCTCAGTGCCTATTCTTTAGTATCTTCCGTCTCTGTGAGTTCTACCAATGCAAATTCTCCGCATCCATTCATTTCTTCCTCTATTTCCACGCCTGCCACTTCAACCAATTTTTCCAAATAATATTCTTCATCGTTAGTGGAATCTTTATCATTAAGGTCGTCGGACCTTTTTACAAACACGTATTTTAAACTTCTTTGCTGTTTGCTCACAAAGTGCTCTCCCATCCCGTATTGAAGAGAGTCTGCCACCAGAAACGCCTTAAAAACTTACCAATTACGAAAATCGTTTTACGCCTTCCAGAAAAATTCGCCCTCTCTTATTTCATATGTTCGCATATTATACGGGGGCCAAAAAGTTTCACTTCCATCCATCTTTAACATTCTATTTTTAAATGCAGTTAATCAAAATAAATTTACTCCATTTCTTAGTTCATTTAGGATGAAATTCTTTGCATTTTTTCAAGCTAGAGCGGAAGATCGTAACTCCTTTTTGGCGAGACTTTCTCAATTTTCGTACAAGGCTTTTRGAAGAAATTTGTTATGGTTTTTTGCTCATTTTTTTCACTTTCATTCTGCGTAGTGCCTGGCTGAATTAATGGGAATAAGGAAGCAAATWAACGCGCCACTGAGCACCTGCGTTTGRTWAAATTTTCCAAAATTAACGGTCTAATTTTTTWAATTAATTTTCAAAAATTGTTTTTGCTTGCACTATTATCAATATGAACATCAATTTGCGCATTTTCAGATTTTTTGAGGCTCTGAAACACTTGATAGCGTTGCAAAAAACGTTTCAATTTAGACAATTTATATAGACCTGATTATTTTTGGACATTTCTGCTTATAACTTGTTTCAGGTTAGAAACTCCTATCGAAAAGGTCCAAAAATTAATGAGTATTAAAATATGTTTTGCCGTTTCCGAGATTATTTTTTTTACTTGATATTTTGCTTTCTAGCTGCTTAAAGGTTAGGATTTTCTGATAAAGCTTAAATGGAAAATGGCAGTTCTCCAGAAGCCCCATCCGAAACATTCTAATTATTTTTCACATTTTTTTATGCGCTTCCGAAATATAAGCTCTTGAACCTGG